GCGAGATGCTGCTGCGCCGAGGAGGCTCCAGCGCCGGGGGCTCCGGGCTCTTCCTTAGCTGTTGGTTGTTAAAGGGCACCCAGGGGAGGGTCTGTGCTGTGCCTGGGCTCTCCTGGGCCTGGGTGGGACTTGCAGCTCCTCGGGGGGTGGCTGGGACCAGCCTGGCAGAGGGAGGGGGTGTCTTTTTTCCACCCTGCACCTCCAGTTGGTCAGCACAGCCCAAACCCCCCCAGCACCCCCGTCCCCGGGACAGGAGCAGCCATGCCCAGCCCCCGGGGGTCTGCTGGGCTTTGGGGGATGGAGCTGGGATAGCACAGGGCTGTAAGAGCCCTCTGCAGCCTTGGCTGCACGTCAGGAGAGGGGCTGAGGTGCAGGCAGGGTCTGCCAGGCACCAGCACCCACCTCCTCAGAGCTGGATTCACCCCGGGGTGAGCTGCAAAGTGGGACTTCCACGAGTGGAGGGGGTTGCTGGAGCTTTGGGTGTTGGCAGAGCCCCTGCAGAAGGACTGGGGAGGGATGTAGGAGGGGAGGGATGCAGGAAAGGGGGGATGCAGGAGGCAGGTCCGTGGCAAAGCTGAACCAGGTGGAAGCTGCCAGGCTGGATCACCCGGAGCCCGGGGGAGGAGGGATCCTAAACACACTCCAGATAAGATCTTAATTCCTCTCTGCCTTTGTTCTGCCTACAAAGGGAGTCTCCCATTTTCCAAGCTCCAAACATTTGTGTTTCTTGGAGCGTTCCAGCTGGAACCCCTGCAGCTGCTCTGGGTTATTGACAGTCCCTTCACTAATTGCAGGAGCTGAGCAGAGCCCTGGGCATGGAATGGGTCACTCCAGCCCTGCCAGGGCAGGCAGGAGGCTTCAGAGTCCTGCAAATGAACTGGATGAACTGGGGCTGTTGGCTGAGACAGGGAAAGGCTCGTGGAAGAGGCTGGCTGGCTCTGCTGGCAGCCTGGCAGGAGCCTCCTGCGCCAGTTTGCCAGTTCCAGTGCCATCCAAAAAGCACATCCCAGCTCTGCCCGGGACAGGCGGGGTCTGCACGTGCATCCAGGGGTAGAATTCCCTGTGGGGTAAGATCAGGGCTGTGTGAACTGTCACATCTTGCCTTCAGGCTTGTGTTTGTCAGCCAAAGCCAGCCGTGGCCCAGCTGTTGGTCCTGTGTCCCTCTGGAGAATCCCTGGCTGGGCTTCCCTGCGGTGGGAAAAGGGGGTTTGCTGGGTCTGTGTCCTCTGCCAGGGCCTTCCAGCTGGGGGAGGGCAGTGAGAGGGATGCTCCCCAGAAGCTTTTCCCATTCCTCTGGAGCCAGGCTCCTGTGGGGCTGGAGAGTCGGGCTCCTCATGGACGATCCCAAGGGGGCTGATCCTGCATTCCCTCCACCAGGAACACCCCCCTGCTCTGCCCTGGGGTGGTTGGGAAAGGGGCTGGATCACAGGAGCATCGCTGGGAAAGGGGCTGTGGGTGCACAGGGATGGGGGGACAGGGACAGGGGGACAGGGACAGGGTGCTGGGCAGCTGCAGGGACAGGATATCAGGGATGGAGTGACAGGGATGAGGTGCCCAGGGTGGGGTGCTGGGCACTGCAGGGACGGGATATCAGGGATGAGGTGACAGGGGTGGGGTGTTGGGCACGTGCAGGGAGGGGGTGACAGGAATGGGGTGACAGGGACAGGGTGCTGGGCAGCTGCAGGGATGGGGTGACAGGGATGGGGTGCTGGGCACCTGCAGGGAGAGGATATCAGGGATGGGGTGACAGGGATGAGGTGCCCAGGGTGGGGTGCTGGACACTGCAGGGACAGGATATCAAGGATGGGGTGACAGGGATGGGATCCTGGGCAGCTGCAGGGATCTGGTGACAGGGATGGGGTGCTGGGCACCTGCAGGGACGGGGTGACAGGAACAGGGTGCTGGGCAGCTGCAGGGATGGGGTGACAAGGATGGGGTGCTGGGCACCTGCAGGGAAAGGATATCAGGGATGGGGTGACAGGGATGGGATCCTGGGCACCTGCAGGGATGGGGTTACAGGGATGGG